CCCAAAAACATTATGTTAAGTGAAATGAGCCACAGAAAAGGACAAATGTTGGCTGATTCCACTTGTACAAGACACATACAGTAGTCAGACTCTTGGACATAAAGCATAGTAGTGTATTCCAGGAGTCTAGGAAAAGAGGAAATGGGGAGCTATTACCTAATACCTACTACAGAGTTTCAATTTGGAAAGAAGAAAATTTCTGAATTCGGGTGATGGTGATGGTTGCACAGTGATGTGAACATATTTAATGCCACCAAACTATATATTTTAAAATGACCAAAATGATAAATAGAATGAAAAGGAGACAAAGGAAGACAGTAGAATTGTTGAATTCCCTTTGCCTACTGACATACTTACTGTGTTAAAAATGTACCGATACAGCTCTAGCCCAAAGTCATGTTTCAAGGTAAAGATGTAGTGAGTCTTAGATGTGCTTGGAAATAGCTTTTAAACAACTCTATACCAATTTCTCCTTCACAACTGGACTTGCTCTGAAGAAGATGAAACTTTAATTAGTGGAGAATCTCATCTTTATTAACATAGCTCAAAACCATGACAAATGAAAGATTCCCTGTTCTTCTGCGAAATCATCCACTGCAATTGGTTTTGTGGACATTATCTAGGTTTCGTATCTTGTACCATATTCTGCCCAGGCTTTAGGGAATCTAAATCTGACTTTGTCTTCGTCTAATTTGCCATGACCTGATAGCTTAGCCACTCATAATCTACTCTGTGGAATCCCAACTGGGAGAGATGACTCAAGAGTCTTTCCACAGAAGAGCTGGCTAATGCACGCTCTGAAGGTGAACCCAGAAAAGGGCAAATCCTGGAAGCAAGTGCTGTAGGGGACCGAGGCTCTCGCTCCATGGTAAATATTTGTCTGGCATGCACGAAGTCCTGGGTTGGATCCCCAGCACTGCAAAAGTGCTGGGGGCTGTAGTAAAGGTCCCTGAATGGAGGGAGGCAGATGAGGAGACTACTTGCCAAGCATGTAAACAGGTCCAGGACTTATCTAGACCAATTTGGAGGCTTACTAAAGACTGATTTGCTGACCAATCTGCTGAAAACACTTATTTCTTAATTGAGTTTATTGAGGACCCTAGGTTTAAACTGTGCACAGAATTCCTCGTCTCTACCTAGTGGTCCTTAAACTAGAAATAGAAGGGAAGAAAGAGAATTGGACAGGCCAGATGTCAGGATAAGGTGAGTGAGTGTGCATGTGTGTGTGTGTGTGTGTGTGTGTGTGTGTGTTTGTGTGTGTGTAGATGCCACACACACAAGAACAACTCACAAACATTTATATATTCAACAGTCATCAAAACCTTCTGGTAAGTCCATTGCTTATTCTTTTTTTTTTTTTTTCTGATGTCAGCTCCATGTGCTTTCTCTCTTTTTTTATTCATTAAGTTTATTGGTACATTTTAGGTCTAAATTATGGTCACATTCTTCACTTCATCACTGGGAATTTATGTATATCTTTGTTCTTGATTTTGCCCATTCCCCTTCCCTCCCTTCCACCCCTCCACCCCTCTCTATTTACAAAAAAAGCTTTGTTTTCATTTTTTTCCTTCTTTTCTCATATTTTTTCTTAATTTGAGAAAACAGAAAACAACACTTCCTGAGTGCACAACCCAGGGATGAGAGTAAGTTAAATGCAGAAATCCCTGGACAGATCTATGATGATGGTCCATGAGTCTCAGCTAGCAGATTCTGGTCCTAAAAGCCACTCCCAGATGCAGAAGAACAGCACCCTGCTCAGCCACGGCCCTTGTGGATGGAGCTGAACATCATGTCACGAGCACTAACACAGCGAGTGAACTCCTTGTTCTTTTCCTACTAAGTAAGCCTGCCTGGGCTTTCTCTCCTCAGCTCTCTCTCCTGGATCCCAGATGGGGTGACTCATGACCAGTCACCTGCATACTGAATTCCACGTTTCCAATAGAAATTTCAACATCATCATTATAACTCAGGTCAGCTCTTAGGGAGGGGCCTGCAGGGACTTCCACTGTTCCTGTTTGGGACACCTGACCTCAAAGTGGGCTATGCAGAGGATCCCTTCCCTGCTCTTCTGCTACCCACCCAGTGATAGAAATCTCAGAACTCTGAAAGGTTCCCTTAAAACCCTAGTATCCTTATTTCTCAGTAACACATTTACCTATACATTTCCACTGTACAGTGCAGCAATGTATGTCATGGTGGTAGATGTCCCAAAGTGATGGGGTCGGGGGAGGAAAGTTTGATCAGAAAGAAGTACATGGCAATTTTGTATATCTTGTTTGGGAAGAGGTACAATGAGTACAATTGTCAAAAATTAGTACTCTAAATAGTTACTACTTTACATGCAAACAATACCACCTTTCAGGTAAAAGATAGGAAGCTACAGCCATGGAGAATAGAGCAGGGTTCCACTTTCTCCCTCCCTGCAACTTTTCCCACCACCTCTCTTCTCTCAGGATTCCAGAGGCAGCCCAAAGAGTATCCTCTGCTTGGTGAAGGAGGGCTGAATGTGAGAATGTAATGGCTCTCTCCCCAGAATTCTGGCCAGATAGAAAGACTAGAGTTTCAGAGTGAAGGCTCTGTAGGTGGGGTGAGCCTGTGTCCAGTTCCCCTCTTCCTCTAGGTGGTAGGATCCTGTTCTCTCCTGCTCCTTAGCCATCCTGCCCAAATTCAGAGCCACAGAGGAACACTGAAGGTGGTCCCAGAGAAGTCTCATAGGAGAAAAAGTCATCAAACAGAAAAACCCATAGATGATTATCTAGGGCATTGTTTCCTGGGAAGAGTGCCCTCAACTGGGATTTCTGGGGCTAGCTGAATGTGGCAATCAGGTATATAATGTTAGTTCAGCCTGGTGGCTGCCAGCCCAGGTTTCTTTCTTCACAGAAAGCACAGAGAGCTCTTCACCTGGCTGAGAACTAAAGGCCAGCAGTGCTTGGAGACTTAGGGCTGATTCTCATTCTTCACCAGGGAAAGGCCATTGCTCCACAGGGAGTTCATCAAGAGATTGTGGTTGCAAATCTGTCTGCTACAGAGCAATGCATCCCTGCTCTCCTACAAATGAGCATTTTTGGCTTTTGTGGGTGATGAATATTAGTAGACCAGAAGTTCTATTTCTGGTTTTGCTACTCTCTGCCCTAATACTGTAAACATCTGTGTCTCATTCTAAACAATGGGCTCAGTAATGTCATTGAGCACTTATTCCAGAGAGAATTCAGAGGCATTAATGAGATAATGACCATTAAACATGGTAACTTCAACAATAAATGGTGGCTTTGGACAGGGTCCACCAAAAGGACATTTTTTTTTAAATTTATGGGACATGACATAGAGGAGGAACCCATCCATGCACTTGTCCAAACTGAAGAATTTCAAGGACAGGAAGTTGAAATATGAATGAGTCAGAGTCAATTTCTGGTTGTCTGCATTTTTCTATTTCAGTGTTTTACCCACTTCTGTTACAACTTCTGACATCGCTCTTCCACACTACATTCTACTACCTGCCATTCTAAGGAGATGCTCCAGTTTCTGGATCCAGTGGCAGGCATAGTAAAAAAGAAAGTAATACCACTTTACTCTGAACTATGTCTCTCACTTCAACCAGAGCCAGTGAATATTTTCTTCCTCTAGGAGGGGGTATATGGTGCTCAATTTAAAGTAGAACAAAGAGCCATCACACTAGGATTTGATCAGGACTGAAAGAGCAAACTCCCCCACCACCCAGGCATCCCCTGCCTCATATTTAAACGAAGCAACTAGAAGCCTACGGAGTTAAAGGCCAGATCAAGGCAAGGCTTGATCTTACAAGAAGCTACACCTCTTTAAACCCCCCTTGGGAGACTGGCTTTCATGACCAGAAGAAAAGCCCTGACCCCACTTGTTGAATTGCCCCATCCAAGTAGCTTGGGCAGGACTGAAGTGGGGAAGCAAGCAATAGGGTCTCCAAGACAAAAGCAAAGCAGACACAGGTAATCAACAGAACACGCTCAGGGGCAGGAGACAGAAAAGAGAGCAGTGCAAAAAGTATTAGCACTGAAGTATGAAGCAATGCAGAGCTCCTGTTTGTGAGCCTCTCAGTGCTGGAGGAGAACAGAGCACCACTTCGATCTCCCTGAGTCAAGGGCCAGTCTAAATTCATTTCTGCTTTTCCAGACACATCAGCACAGACCTTTCTTCTGAGCTGTTTTTCATTGCCAGATGCCCCAGAAAATAAGGCAGAACAGACTTTTGTCCTCTTTCCAACCACACATAGCCAAGGATGACAGAAAAGTGGAAGGCATCTCCTGCCTTGTAAACGTAGCCAACCTCTGCAAGGCTCAAGACATGGGCACTGCCCTGCCACCATGAAATCAGACAGATCTCAGCCCCCCAACTGCCCCAGCCTGAGCCTAACCTGTTGCACCCACCCACTTGCCATGAATTCATGCCAGGAGAAAAAGTAAAAAGTCAGGTTTGGCTCTCTCCAGAGCAAGAACCCAGAGAATCCTGGGGAAACTGACATTTTTTTAAAAATCCCTTCTTCCAAGCTGCCTCGGAGGAGCATAACTTTTAACTCTACCTCCACTCCCAACCCCCAGGCTTCCTTTACAACACTTTCTCAGCATGGAGGACTTGTCGATAAAGAGTTAAAGGAGGTGCACGATTAATTTCCCAATGCTCCTTATCTACATACGAAAAGAACAGCCTCACACTGAGGCACACAGAAACCACCAGCAATTTAGCTCTGCCCTTACCTGTCTTACGCAACAGTACACACGCATATACACTCACTCACACCGAAAGGCCAGGGTCCACATCCCTCTTTAATTCAGTAGACATAGTTTTGCACCTTTCTTTTGCTACGCAGAAGCCAGCTCTCCTGGCAGCAGAGAGATAAATGTAACCTCGGTGCCAAATGCCTTGCAGGAACACACAGACATACAGGAACCAAAATACAGCTCATCGCTCTCCTTGGTGCTGAAATCACGCTAGCTAGTAAGGGAAAGAGCGGAGGGCTCTGGACTTACCGGGCTGGGGGGTGGGCTGCCACGAGGGAGAGGAGCTTCCTGCGAAGAGAATTCTTGTCTCTTCGGGCTGGAGCCAGCTGATGCTCTCGTCTAAAGCCCACCTCTCTCCCTTCCTTTCCCTTCCTCCTGTTCTGAGAGGAAGAGAGGAGGCTCCACAGCAGGGCTATGAGTGGAAGGAGAAAGAAGAGACAACCAAAATAAGATAAAAAAGTCAGGCGGCTCTACTCCACTAGTGGTAATTCCTTGGGTCAGGAAGGACCCCCTCCTTCTCCCTGTCTCTGGGTCTGTTCCTGTCTGTCTCTGCGTGTTGAGCCAAGCTTTAGCACAGTCGGTTCCTGCCTCTGACGTGAACAGAGATGAGGAAGCCTGGAGCTGCTTTGCTGTCTCTCTCTCTCTCTCTCTCTCTCTCTCTCTGTATCTCTCTCCCTCTCCCTCTCCCACTCTCCCTCTCTCCCTCTCCCTCTCTCTCTCTCTCTCTCTCTCTCTCACGCGCTCTCTCTTTTCCTCTCTTGCTGAAATTTCAGCAGCATATTTTTTTAAGCCTCTGTTTTTTCCATCCCTCTACAAGCATCCCCCTAGTGGACAGAAAAGAAAAGCATCTCAAGTTCTCTCGAACAGTCTCAGTTCAGGCACGGAAACACTCCCTGCACCCATAGACTTAGGGGCTGCTACCGCACAGCCTGGATCCTGAAGAGGACAGAGTATTCCTTCTGGATAACCTAGTAGGAAGAGGGAGGAAGAGGGAAGGAATTTTTGAGGATCCTTTCCCCGTGATTGCAAGAAAAGCAAAGGGTGGGATGGGATCGGCAGGATATAGTTGGGGTCAGAATGTTTCGGAATAAGGTCAGTTGTAAGGTTGCCAAGTATTTTAAGGTACTGGCTCTGTAGAAGGAATCATCCAAAGAGTCAGAGTCCGCAGCCAGGTGAGGAGTGTGTATACCTGGCGCACCCAGAGATGGAAGTGGGAATTCGGGACCAAGGGAACAGTACCTAACTAGCACCTCATCCAACTCCACAATTTAGCATTTGTGAAGGCTAATTTGAAAACTACCTGGGGAGACAGAGCCTGAGACCATCTCAGGGAGAGAGATAGAAATGACCTTGTTGGGCATCAATGGAGAACCTCAGCAGAGAAGGGGTTTCAAGGGGTTACTTCTCCCAAGCTCATAAAGGGTACCTAACTCACTTCTACATGCATGACCTCACATGTCCCTGAATTTGTCTTAGTATTGCACCAAGCTCTACAAACTTGAGCCCTGCTGCCACTCATTCACTGGACATTTTGCTTCTCTGCAGCTCAAGCTCACTGTTCGTAAAATGTGGATAATGCTGCCCCCTCCCTACCGAAAAGGAATGCTGAGGGACTGGAGTGATATAGAGACGTAGAATTTCAGTCAGGGATGGCAGGAAATTTGAAGGTAATCTTATCCAAACACTCTTCTTATGTTTGACTCACCTTTAGCAAATAATAATAGTGTGAATTTATAGCGTATTCGCAGCAGCTGCTAGGTACTGCTTGCTATAAGCCTTTACATGTTAGCTCATTTAACCCATGCAATAATCCTATAATGCAAATGATATGATTACATTTTATAGACTAGGAAATTAAGGCATAGAGGATGAAATAACTTTCCTTAGTGCATAACAGGGGTGAAGTTGGAACATGGGTCATCTGACCCAAGAGCTTCTTCTCTAAACCATAATGTTTGGTAAATGTCAGTTCAGAAGTGACACCATCTAAAATAGAGGATAGCACCACAGTCATCACTGCTTCCATTTATGATAAAATGCCTAGATTGGTATCATAAATTTGCATGTTGCTGAGTTTTTAAAATAAGATATTTACAACTATGGATTCCAAACAAACTGTGGGAATTGCTATTACTGATGAGAATCCCCTAGGAAAATCAATTCTCTTGGAGATTTGGGGTAAGTTCATATACACAAAACTGGAAATAAAACTCATGAAATTAGAAACTATTGGGCTTTAGCATCAGATCAAAAGACAGATCACATAATTTCTGTATCAAAGCAGATCACTTCATAGTGCCTGGTGCCATTCTGCAATGAAGCCAGTGATTTGTTGAACTGAGTTGTTGCAATGCAAGCTAGAAGCACTTGGTGAGATCCTGGCATTTCTTCAGAATCTCAGAATTGCAAATTCATTACCCTTTGTGGCTTACTTTGTTTTCAAATGGGCAGATCAAAGGTGGACTACGGTAGTTAACAAATCATGGTTCTTGTCTTCATGGAGTTTGCAGTTTCTGAATGTGGGGGAAAAAGCAAGAGAAGTAGACCTTTACAGTTCAGAGGCTAAGTGCTGAGACAAGGGCAGAAGCACTATAATAAGCGAGCACATGAAAAAGACAATTGATCTTTGAGTGCCAAGGCCTTCTTAAGGAGCATAGCATTTAAACTAATGCTTGAAAAATGCAACATTTTCTCAGAAAAGTGTGGGTGGACAGTGAAGCTGAAGACATGGTATAAAGCGGCTCATGCAAGTGAGAGACAGCACAATTTGAATCTTCCAAGATGAGCATTACCCTCCTATTTACAATTGGGGAAACTGAGGCTCAGGCAAGGTAAGTCGTGGCCTGCTCAAGATCACACATCTAATAAGAGTGGAACATAAGTCAAAAGCATCCAAAACCCATGTATTGGGTTCTAAGACCATCTTTTGAGGGACCATGATGCATGTTCTCCCTTAGATATACACACACAATTAATAAGGTATTGCAGCAGAGCACAAAGTGAGGATGTGGCATCTACAAGACAGCAGAACACACAATCCATCACGACTGGATGAGAAGCTCCAGTTAGTTCAAAACAGAACTCCAGGATGGCAGGATTGTTCCTGCTGGATGTGCAATTACCAAATTTATTAGAAAGTGCAAATATGTTTGAAGTGCAAAGACATTAAATACTTGCATTTGAAAGGGAAGATGAATATAGAAAGGACATTTTCAGATGATATGTCATGGGGGTACAGAGGAAGAAGAGGTCCTCCTGCATGGGAAAGATGGTGGGGCCCTCACAGGAAACTTGGCCACTTCCCTGGATCTTTAAATATTGGGTATGGTAAACTGTGTTCCATCACACCCAGGCATTTTGTATGTGGAAATCATGAGATCTGAATCCTCATAAATAGAGGGACATTGATTCAAGGGAGAGGAGAAGGTCATTTCAGGCAGAAACATTGCAAATTGAGAGATGGACAGTTTGGGGAAGGGTGGAGAAGTGAGGCTGATGGATGAATTTGGCTCAGGACATGTAAAGACTGGGGAAAATGTAAACATACATTGTACTGGAAATGTCTAGGCAGAGATCGGAGTACATATTTGGAGCTCAAGTGGGGTTTTGGGGTTGGTGACATAGATCCAGAGCCATTTGCTTAGACATGATGGTTGGATGGATAAGATCATAGCAGGAGAGAAAATGAAGAAGACAAAAAGGACAGCGTCCCAGCCTTATTTTCTTAATTCCAGATCAAGTTTTATATTTCTTTAGTCCTTGGGATGAAAGTGCTTGATTCCCCAAGAGCTATCTATAAAATGCTTATTGAATGGCTCATAATAATAATAACTCAAATACATTAATGAAAGATAATACTGTATTGGGCTGAGGTGTTATTGGCTCCTTGTCTTCTGATCGGCTCTCACACCAGGCCCCCGTCACAATTTTCCCTTTGCAGGCTGATAATCACCAGTCCCTGAATTTTGTTCTCACAGCCCCCAAATCTTCATCTGTGTTGATGTTACTATACATTCTTGTGGCTAGGCCAAATTGAGCATTTCCTCAGATACTCAGCTGTCTTGAGAGAAGTGTGAGCCTCAGTATGGTCAGTCACCAGGGTATAATTTCCCAAGGAAGAATCAGTATCATGGTCAGCACTCCCGAATGCCCTAGGATACAGCCCTCCAGAACTTGTTTTGGACATAGCAACTCAGTGGGTCTAACTGTGGCTTTCTTTCTTTCTTTTCTTTTCTTTTTTTTTTTTCAGAAGAGAAGTTAACTAGAGATCTGTTTTGGGACATGGAGAATCCAAAGTAGCAAAGGAGAGACCTCAATTCTTAGGCTAACCAAGGCCAACACCATACCACTGTCCCAATGGACATAAAAGGAAGAAATTTGGTGTAAACATCAGAAAAGATGGAATTCTGACGAAGGAGAAGAGAGGAGAGGAGCAGCAGATTCAGCCTCTAGATGGTTAGTTTCACCCAAGGACACCTCATCCTGGGAACTGTTAGGGAACAAGCCTTCTTATTTCCCAATCCTTCCCTTCTACCCAAGTTTTGACCTTCCCCTCTGACCTTTTCCAAAGTCTAGGTTTTATCTGGCCACAGTTAGGTGTAATTATAAATCATTACCCTTTCCTCCTATAAGGACGTAAACTCCTTAGGGGCCAGGATAAGGTTTGTTTTCAGGGAACATCTGTGAGGCTCTGTGAACCCCAAAAGGGTATGTTTGGAAAGGAACTAAAGAAAGGAAGAGAGAAAGGGCAGGGGAGAGGCAGGGAGAGGCCTTCCAACAAAGACTTACGTCTGCTAGCTTCAGAGGAAAGGAGAGAGAATAAAAGGGGGAGATACTATTTGGCAGACATTTTGCTCCTGTTTTTCTGACCCTGAATCTTTTCCCCATAGTGAAGGTAAGGAAGCTAGGTACTTTGTACAGTTTCAAAGTGACTCTACACCCCACATGGAGAAGAAGGGCCTTGCTATGACCTGCCCACTCTGCACTCATACCTAATTACACAGACATAATTACAACAGGCCACTCGCTGCCATATTCTGTAGGTAGAGAGCCCAGAAGGGACATTCTATAGTTAGGAGGCCAGGGTGTTAGTTACAGTGACCATGGAAATAAGCAATGCTTCTAAACCAATGAAGCAGTTTAGCCCTGTCCTGGAGGAGAGAGAAGACTGTAAGGTCCCAGAGTCTCCCACAGAGCTTTGTGCTCACTCCCACGCCACAGTCCTTACCAAATGTGAACTAGGGGAGCCTCTGCAGTGACTGGGAGCTTGGGCCTTCCCACAGCCTACCTTGCGATGATTGACAGTTGGGGGATAGATATTCAGGCCATCCTAAAGAAGCTGCCCCAGGGCCTCGCAGACCTTTCAAATCAGAGTCTTTGTCCTATGTGAGGTTCACAGGGCCTGTGATGACAGAGAAGGGCAGGGAGCAGAAACTGCCAACAGTTGGAGTTGTCTAAGAAAGGGAACTTCCTAAAAATGGCCCAACTCAGGAAAGACAGGCACTTATTAGGATGTTGTAGAGACATTCAAGCATTAGCTGCGTGCTTGGAGTACATGATTCATCCATTTCCTTTCAACTCAGATAATATGAGACTCTACTGGCCTAATGACTAAGAGATCCGCTTAGAAAGGGCTGTTTCAGGACCTGGGACTTATCTTCTGGGAAGTGGAGGGGAAGGATTGTTAAAGA